TAATTAATATTACATAATATAAACATGAGTATGGTACTTCATTTAACACATACTTCCTGATCTCGTTACATCAATTATTGATCATTAAAATTTTCAATTTTTAATTCAATGGAAAGATTTGCATAGGGGATATCGATGGAACCATCATCTATTTCACCCGTTGGCGCTGCTTTGGATGGGTGTGGTGAAGATTTGTTTTGATTGAACGATGTAAGATAAAGGAGGGTAATCGTTTTTGTAAAATTTAAAATAGATAATGATGTCTCTTTACAAATTTGACAATATAACAAACATTAAAAAGTCACAAAATAACGATGTACTTTGCTTTTGGCTTTTCTAATGAACATCAGAATAACGGAATGGTCAATTCCATTCCATTGGGTAACGGAACGAACAATATCATGGTCTTTTATATACAAAAGGTGACCACTAAACGTGCACTCATAGCTTCCCCATGTATCCTTGTAACTACATTCAAGACATTAACGTGCTTTCTTCTCTTTGCATTCATCAATATACGTCACATGTTTCATTAAGTATTAAGAGGCTGTCCAATCTGAACCTAAAAGCAACACCAAAAACCAAAACAATTTTTTGTAACTCCAAATAAAATAAATAAAATAAAACTAATTGTAGTAACTCACCTCTTAACTTATTGTTAGAAGAAAAAGTAGAATAAAAAGAATGAAACGATGAGAGTCGAATTAAAAAATTAGTAATCAGATCACCCAAGAACGATAAGCTATCCCAAAATTTTGAAATGATGGTAATCTGTTAGGGCAAAATTGAACAGTGACAATTATTTTGTGGGTTTATCAGAATCAAGTATACGATGACCTGAAGATGAAGTAGTCGTTTCTCATTGTAATCAACTGTACATTAAACGTACCCTCCTAAAAATCCAAAATTTTAATAAGGGCAAAGATATCAAATTTATATAAATCGTATGTTAGTAAACTATGCATACCTTTAACCACCACCTATTTTTTGTAATTGCAAAATTCTTTGTCATGCAAATTTACATAACCAAATAAAATCAAATTGATATAAAATAAAGAAACAATACTTATTTTTTTCTTAAAAAAAGGTAAAGATATCCTTGGGAAACAGGAAGGATGATTTTATTTTCAAAAAAAAATTAATGGGATAAATACAATACCTGATCAATATCCTTGGCAACAACAGTGTTCCCTATTGCTGCAAAAAGAGCAAGTTTCATCCTTTCATCTTGCACCTTGATCATATCAAAAAGATGTGGAAACAAAAGTGTTCCCCATTGCTGCAAAAAATGCAAGTTTCATCCTTAATATGTAAGAATGGAAGTAGGCTGTCATAATAGAAATGAAATCTTCATGAACACATAACTGAAAGTATGTACATATGTATTAGCTAAGGCTTCTTATATTCATGATCAAGAATATATTACTTCCCATCCCAATTTTCAGGTTATCATCATGCCTTAACATTGAAACAAAAGCGGGGACACTCTTTAGCCCGCAAAAAGATGGCAAAAAAAGTAAAAGTACCCATCAGACACAACAGGTGGAATCTAAACCGTAAAACCAAAAAAAGAAAGTAAAATGTTAAATTAATTAGGTCACAATAGTAAAAATGAGTTAATGCTTTTGTATCTTACCACCGAAGGTGTTCTTCGGTGTCCACTCAAAACCTTTAAACATTTACCAACGATTATTTTGATAGTATAATTAGAAAATATGCAAGAATTTTCCCATATGAACCGAATATTGTTGCAATGGTTGAACTTAGGCATTAATTGACAATACTTAAGGCTCAGCCTCTGCCTTATAGAAACATGTAATCTAATAAAAATGATAAATCTACACTTTGACTTATTTTAGTTCACAGCTTACGTGTACTTTAACTTTTGGGCTTAACAAATGGCCAATGGTGATGCATAGAAGCTCCAATCTCATCCTTTCTTGGCAAATAATTTTTTATTCTTGGAGCTCTATCTCTTATGGACAAAATTTATATTGCACAATTATGGTACCTTTAAACATCAAGACATAGTTCATTTGTTTTAAAGTTAAAACAAAAACATAAGTAAATCTGGAAGTAATCTTTAGCAAATAAATGAACAAAGAAATTGACCAAGCATTTCACTATATAGTCAAACAAACACCCTCTTGAGTTTCAATTGTTTTGATAATTTGGAGGTACTTGCTCTTCAATCAAAGCCACAATAATATTAATTGCTTCCTGAAATGACAAAAAATTCCTTTTTGGAATGTAGAACATAAACCAATAGAATAGTTGTTAGGAAGAGTAATTAACCACTTTGATCCATTTGAAGTCAAACCATGTTGTCTGTAACTATAAATCAGCATGGTGTAGAGCATGATAACCTTTTTGTCTTTTAGATTTACTTTTATTATCTTCAAGTAAATCATTTGTGCCACACATGCATAAAGAATCTCATATAGAACAATTAAATTCCTTCCATAACCATGTAAATCATTTAAGTAAGAGCCACAAGTAACTATGTCAATTGTCCAATGAGGCATTATAATGATATCATATTAAAAGTTGGCTCTCGCATGCAAACCAAACCTAGTCAAAATATGATTTCATATTAGAGATATTTATAAAGAATATGGAGAACTTACAGTTCCAACCCTACAGAACCATGAGAAATGCATTAAACCCCTATAACATGTACATATTTCATGATACGATTAGTTGGTTCAAGAGTACCACATAGATCTAGTACATTTTTATTTCTGGTATACCGTATGGGCCAGAGTCTAGTGCTCACTTGCAAGTTCATATGCAATAGGATCATCATCTCGGAGATGAAAAATTGAATATACAAACTTTGTCATCCGGTGAAACTGTAAAAAAACAAAAGAAAACATTTTTATAAAGGGAATTAATAAATTTTTGTTTTTTTAATGAAATACTACTAATTATTTGGATGTCATATGTCTTAAGGTAAATCTTACTGCTGGAGGGCTATATGGCTAATTTGTAAAAAAGGTTATTATAGCATTTGAAAATCTTCAGCCACAAAATAGACTGGGAACCTCTCAACTTCAAACTGGTATGCTAAATTTTTTGTCTCTCTGGTTCAACATAGAGTTTCTTCATGGTATTTTTGAAAGCTATGGATATACATGATGCTTCATGCAATAAATTAACCCTAAAATAAAAAAGAGTAAATAAATGCAAGATTCATACCTGATTCATAAACTTGTCTTAAGAATCCAGTCATATCACCAGCTTGTTTTTTTCACCAGTTGACCAATATGAAGTCTTCTTTTATGCCTATCATTTGAGTAAACTTACTGAGATCAATCGAATAGATAACAATTGGTGATCAAGTAACCAATGCAGTGTAAGTATGTGGTTGGTTATTCCAAGGTTATGTAAGTAAACATACAAGTTGACAAAGCACGATAAACAATCACAAAAATCATGATTCCTGCAAATTATACAACAATGTAGGGGTAAAAGCAATAATTGAAGTGACAGAAAAGAGATGAAATTAACCTTAAACAATATCGGATTTGGGAGCCATAGTATGCCCATATCCTTTCAACTTTTATAACTCCATGAATTTATAAGGTTGAATATACAGAGCAACGAATAGAGGTAAGAGATTAGGGCTCAGACTTTAAAAAGTTGATTGAGAACTTTTACCAAACACCTGGTAGGCAAATGTTTCAGCATTAATCGAACTTACCTCTGGTATCAAATCAGAAGTACACAACTTGACAAACCCATATTTGTCGAGATAAGTCGCCGCACCTGATCCAGTTCATTGATCGTATCGTGAGTGGCGTTTGTTGTAGAAAGAGTGGAAGAGAGGCTGTACAAAGCTCAAACCGCCTGTAGGTATCAGAGTAAACGGGAAAAGAGAGAGACGAACATGTTAAGATGGAAATCTGAAACGAAATAATCAAATAGTTCACCTGATTGATGGAATCGAACGTCGTTTCTTTCGTGTCGATGCTTCGTTTCTCTGCGATGAAAAAAGAATTGTTGATTTCACTTAAAGCTCTGTGATACCATCTTCGAAGTCTGTTGATTTCACTTAATGCTTTGTTTCGAACGTCGTTTCTTGCAACGTCATTGATGGAGAGGGAAGAGGATTATGAATCTATCTTCCAGAATTGGTGATTAAGTTTGGATATGATTATGATTCCTGATTTCTTGCTATCGAATTCGAAACTGATCGCCGATAATTTGGTATATCAATTCAAACATATTAAACCCTGAAGCAGGAGGGGCATTTGGGGAAATTCACTTTGGTATTTTGAGCAGGAAAAATCTATTGGGAAGGGCTTAGAGAATGCCACGTGGCAAAAATCTACTTATTTATTAGATTAGGGGATATATATATATATATATATATATATATATATATATATATATAGAGAGAGAGAGAGAGAGAGAGATGAAGGATCATTTGAGAACTCATATATTCCCGAGAACTTGAGAACCAAACGATGATCGTTAGATCAAAATAATCGATGGTTAGGATGCTTTGTGGCATTTTTGTAAATACATGGGAAAGAAAAGGTACGGGGGTATGTTTTTTGAAAAAGAATCGGGGCATTTTAGGAATGGAAAAAAGAATAACATAATTCATAAATCGGATTGAATCAGGTCTGCCTCTACCCTATATCTCTCGCTCTCTTCATCCTGCCTCCCTTTGATCTTCATTCCGCCTCTGGTTCATACGATCACACCTAGCAAATCTGCATCGCTTTCCTCCGCCATCAAGCTTCATCATCTAAGTAATCCTTCACTTGATGTTGTTGATTGAAGGCAACCACCTCTTTAATCATGGATGACGATTAAGAAAGAAATTATCGATATTTAATCTTCATCATCTGAGAACACGCAATGAATAGAACTAATTTTCAAGCTGATTTACTAATTTTCGATTAACACGCAATCAATTTCTGCAATCGTTTTCAAGCCGATTTCTACCAGCCACCGGTTTCTACAATCGATTTCTTCCCTCATGGTGTTGGATGATTTCAAACCTGGTATTTTTTAGAACTCTTTGATGTTCTTATTCTTTTGATTCCAACTGATTTTGATGCTTGAACTACTTGCATTTACGATAATGATTCGAAGTTGAAGGAGGAAACTGTGCCTCCTGGTTATGATCCTGAACAAGATGTCGTCAACAAACCTAAATCCAAATCGTCTAAGACAAATGAACGAAAGAAGGAGAAGCGCTTGCAGGTATCATAATCAGATCCCCAATTATACGTGTTCTTTTTTTTGCGTTTCCGGATTTTCATATGTGTTTATTTGATTCCGATCAGGGTAAAAATAAAGTTTCATCTACTGGAGACGAGGAAGAAGCATTGGAATCCATTGAGTCGATTGCGTCCCACATAAACGAGATCACGATTTCTGGAAAGCCATGTGTTGCTACTACTACTCCCTCAAATTCATTGGAATCACCATGTTTTCTTCATCAGACTCAGACTGATGAAGAAAATGATGAAATCGGTGAGTTTGTCACTTGTATGGGAGGATGTTCTTCTATTTTTAAAACATATTTGTAGAAATTCAATATATGAATTCATAACACATACTTGTAGAATACATAACATAATTCAGTTATGTATTCATTTTTGCAATCAAACCCCGGAATGGAATGGAATGGAATTCCATTTCATTCCAATTCATAGGGAATCAATCAATTCTCTTATTTCTCTGATAATTTTGGTGATAAAAGAGTTTACTTTGCTATGACTTGGTGTTGACTTTTGAGAGTCAACTGTTACAGGAGTCAAATGGTAGAAATATTGAGAAACGACAAGCATCCAAGGAAGATTTTCCAAGTGCACCTCCATTTTCAGGTTCATTTGGGGAAATCAAGCAAGAGAAGGAACATTCTCCCCTTCCTAAAGCTAATTATATGTCATCTACAGCTGACTCGGTTGACTTTTTAGCTAAGTCAACTGTAGAGAAGAAGACTCTTGTTGTAGATTTGAAAGCAATTAATAAACAGGAGACCTCAAACGCATCTAGGTTTGTTTCTACTTCCTCAATATTTGTAAACTATATTGCAACATTATGTAATTTTCCTTAAAAAAAGCTATTTGTTTTGTCTGATGAAATGGAATAGATAGTTCTTGAAAGAATGTGAAAGGAATAAAAATTTGCAGTACTGCCCATTTTTATTTATGTCATTTCAATGACATATATCTTTACTTTTGTAATTTCATGATGTTAATTAAAGTGTACTTTTATCTTCCAAAAATAACTAGAACTATATGTTTTATTATGACCTTTTTTGGGTTCTAATGTAAATAAAAAATGCATTAGATATAATTATCTAAATTACAATTTACATCTAATAGAGTAAAGTTAAAACTATATATTATATTATACATATCATAAAAAGTTAATATATAACATTACCTCTTTTTTTATGTTTATTTATATCTTAATATCTTTTACTTTCTTTGTGATATGAATGTTGGTGTCAAAACTAGTTCTCATATTACTCTATCAGGTACGTCTCTCTCTCTCTTACCAGTAGACTGAAGAAAATGAAATATATTTTCTTCTGTTGTGTAATGCCATTTTTAGCAATATCTTTAATTGTTTTCTAATTATATTATCTTTATTGTTGACCAGGCAAGGAAATTGCTGCCAACTGGCACGAGAAATGCATTTTACCTTGGTATAATGTCCACAATAGTAAGTTTCTTCTCCCTTGCAGTTCATCTAAGTTGATAGCAATAACTCATATACAGGATTTGGGACACCAAGTATCTTTTGTGGTTTCTAAAATGTTTTGTTTTTTGCTTTGTATTCTGTAATCTTTCCAGCTTGGAGCAGGATCTTTTGTGGTGCATAGCCTCTCAGCATTTCTGAATTCATTTCTCCAAAACTTTGGGATAAGCCAAGAAGTCCAGAACCCAGTAAGTCCCTCATTTTTACACTATTGGTTACTTTACGGTTTAGTATTATAATCTATTGATCTTACATATAAGTTTATTTAACCTTGCAGGTTTCTGTTTTTGTGGTGCTTGGAATCATTTTGTTAGGAGCTGGTTTCGGATATTGGCTGGTGAGGAAATATATTATTTGTGAAGATGGAGAAGTTGATGTTGGAGTTGCACAATTTATCAAATGGTCCATGCGTATAGTTGCAGTCCCATGTATTATCCTGGTAGGTTACTATATTCATTAATTAAACTCATATTTCCAAAAGTGGTTCATGATTTAATGAATTCTATGTTTTACTTGCTTATATCTGAGGCTTGTGTTATCTTTTTCAAAGCACGAAAGACACCCATTTGGCAATGGCTGTAGTGGGGTTTTGTTTGGGTGTATACTACATGATCACGAAGATTGTAAGGAAAATGCCATGTAGGATCTATGCAACCCTCAAAGAGCTCAGCCTTGGTATGATGAAGAAGGAATGGAATGTATAATTCCATTGGAATGGACGATTCCTGAATGAATGTAATTCCTTCCATTTTCTGGAATTTATGAAGAGGAACAATTTTGTTAGCCCTAAAGTTGCTTATGAAACAGCAACTGCGTTGCAGGTACAGTTAGATGAATTTTAATAAATTCAACTATATATATGAGAAACTAATATCTTGCTCTTTGATAAAACTATTACAAAAAAACAAAAAAAAAAGATTTACTAATTTCCTGTATTTCTTCTTGCAGAATGTATCATTCCATTGGAATGGACGATTCTTGAATGAATGTAATTCCTTCCAAAAATTAGAATTCCTATAAAGATTAAATGCCTCATAAAAGTATAACAGTCATTTTCATTTGGATTTTGGTCATTTTACATCGAGGAAAGAGGTATATTTTAATTAATCTTTGGGATATTTTCTGTTCCATCATTGATTTCTGATTCGGTAACCAATAAACTAATCCATTAGTATAATATATAAATGAAAATATAATTTTATTGAAGTATTTTGGTTGCAAACTTTACATATGAATTACATGTGATTCACATGTAAATCACATGTAATTTACATATGATTCACATGTAAATCACAAGTGAATCACATATGAATTACATGTGATTCACATGTATTTTATATGTGATGTAAATCACATATGAATTACATGTGATTCACATGTAAATAACATGTAATTCACATAAGATTCACATGTGATTCACATATGATTCACTTATGATTCACATGTAAATATGAATTACATGTGATTCACGTGTAAATCACAAGTGAATCACATATAAATTACATGTGATTCACATGTAAATAACATGTAATTCACATATGAATTACATGTGATTCACATGTAATTCACATATGATTAATTTGTGATTCACATGTAAATTACAAGTGAATTACCTACGAATTACATGTGATTCACAAGTTAATCACATATGAATTATATGTGATTCACATGTAAATCAAATGTAATTCACATATTAATCACATGTAATTCACATGTAAATCACAAGTGAATCACATATCAATTACATGTGATTCACATGTAAATCACAAGTGAATTACATGTGATTCACATGTAAATCACAAGTGAATCACATATGAATTACATCTATATGCACACATGCATTTTGTGTAAGTGTTATTCGTTAATTATTTTTAAAAAATTTCTTGTGAATTTCACATTTAAATCTTAAAAGATACAATCAAATGTGAATATCACATTATATAATCACATGTGAATCTTACATGATATATACATGTGCGTGCTCTTGCATTAATCAATTTTTTTTTTATTTTCCTGTAGATTTTGAAGAATTTTTGGAAAATATTGAAAATGTGAAAAGTGATAAATTGAAGAAAATATGGAAATCTTGATATGAAGAAATGATAACACTGTGAATCTTTGTAGTTTTTTTTATATTTTATTTTGTATCAAATAAAATACTTGTATTATGTTTATAGATTGATTAATAAAAATGAGATTTTTTATAATTTACTTACGAATATTATAGTATAAGAAATATGTATATATGCATTTGAAAAAATATGTATATATGCACCTAAAACGTTGATTATTGTACTTTTTTATAAAAATCGTAGTTTTTTTTTTTTAAATGCAGTTTTTCTGAAAAAAAAAAATGCAAAAATGCAGTTTTTTTGAAAAAAAAATACAGTTTTTTTTTTTTAAAAAATGCAGTTTTTTTTAAAAAAAATGCAGTTTTTTTTGCAAAAAAAAATGTTGTTTTTTTTAAAAAAGATGCAGTTTTTAAAAAAATATATATTTTTTCATTTTTTTTGAAAATTTTATGTTTTTTGAAAAAAATTAAAAAATCTCCATTTTTTAAAAAAATCGAAAATTATTATTTTTTTTAAAATAAATCCGAAATTTAGAGTTATTTTGTTAATTTTTAGACATTTATACTAATATATTAAACAACACAAAAAATTAAACATTAAATGAGATTGGTAAGATGACGATCATGTCCTTAACGAATTACTTTTGATCCAACACCCCACTTTTAGTTCTCGGGTTCTCGGGAAACTTTGAGTTCTCTACCGATCTCAACCCTATATATATATATATATATATATATATATATATATATATATATATATATATATATATATGTGTGTGTGTGTGTGTGTGTGTGTGTGTGTATTCAGGTTTATTTGAGACCATGCTAATTTTGTAATCTCCTTTGATATTTTGGAACCTTTTTGAAAATCTTTTCCTTGATTTGAGGCTGGATTCACACGAGTGTTCCTCCAATTCACTCAAACCAAGACTCTGATACTAACTTGTAACACCCAAAAAAATCATGCCAAAATTTAAACTTTTAAAAACATTTCAAATCTATTAACCATTACAAAACTTGTTTTCAAAATGTATCATATCAGAGTATCCCTGAAACAAAGTCAAAAAAAGTGAGGAGTTGTACGATCACGCATTTGCCTTGCCACGATCCCCTGATGTACCTGAAACAATAAACTGAAACTGTAAGCCCGAAGGCTTAGTGAGTTCCCCCAAAATACTCATACCCACAATAATACACATATAATCATAAACAACATACTATGGGTCCAGTCAACCATTCGGTTGGGATACCCCAGGCCCTCAACCATCCGGTTGGAATGCCAACATACTATGGGTCCAATCATCCTCGGGATGGAATACCCTAGGCCCACAACCAACAGGTTGGAATGCCCACATACTATGAGTCCAATCATCCTCGGGATGGAATACTCACGACCCACAACCAACAGGTTGGAATGCCCACATACTATGAGTCCAATCATCCTCGGGATGGAATACTCACGGCCCACAACCAACAGGTTGGAATGCCCAGGTCTATTGGCTTTCGCACAAAGCAGATGAGCCTCAACCACCAAACAAACATGTGCACATATAACAGATAATCACATAACAGTCTATAGACAAACAAACCGATCTAACAGATCATAACAGCATCACACATATTACCATCCTGTCTACCAGGATACCGATCTAATAGATCATGCCACATATCACATAATACTATCCTATCTGCCAGGATACCGATCTAACAGATCATACTAACATAACATACCCAGATAACAATCCAAAGGGCCGGCCTTGGTGCCTTAGACCCTTGAGTATAGTGAGGATAACTCACATGGCACTGTTGAAGTCCCGCAGATAAAACTCCAACTGCTGGTTGACAGATTCCCGAACTGTCAACATTAAACAATACCCAATTAATAATTGGGTTCCAAGCCGAAGGTCCAACTCACACTCCAAAGACCCAAAAGTCAAGTAATGGGCCAAAGCCCAACATATGGCCCAATTTTCCAAATTGGGCCCAAACCTTTACAAGGTCTTACCATAAGACCCAACCATTTAGTTCGGTCCAACATTCGACATTCTAATGGCCTAATATCACATAATCATAAAGGACCAAACTATGGCCCATCTATGGCCCAATTTTCCAAAGTGGGCCCAAACCCTCATATGGGCCTTACCCTATAGCCCATCAATGTATTCTAGTCCATATGATTATGTTGGATATAGTGTCTAAGTCCATAACTATATTTGGTATGTACTTGACCCGACCCGGCATGGTCCATTTGGGTTGCATGGCATTGAAATGCTTGGATAGACCAAAATGAGAGAAATGACACTTAAGGTTATTAATATATTGTAAGTTCTAATATATTAATAATATTATTTAATTAGTATTGATCAAAGAATTAATTTGGAATTAATTAAGTGATCAAAAAGAGACTAATTAAATATATGGGGTTGATTGTGTAAATCATATATTCTTGTATAGTGGGCTAATGATCCATGGTTTGTTGGATTGGGCTAAAACCCATAAGGTGCTCCATGGATAGTCCATGGAGGTTACAAACCCATGGATCATGGAATATGGAAAGCCATGACAATTAGGGTTTACATGGTGTAACCCTAATTGTGCCACAACTATAAAAGGATCCCTAGACTAGCAAAATCGGCAATTGTACAAGCAAGAAAGAGGGCTAGCCATTTTTGAGGTGTTAGTGAACTTCTCTCAAGGTTATTCCAAGTATTGTGGTGTTGTGTGAGACATTTGAGGCATCACACTTGAGGTGCTAGGCTCCCAAGGTTTTCAAGGAGTCCAAACAACATTAGGTATGTTCTACAACTAGCATTTATGTTTAAAAGTTCCCCATGCTATGCTAGATAGGTTATGAACCTTGGAAATCAAATTTGCATGTATCATAGTAAAACATAGATCCAAGGTTTCTAGGGTTGCATGTACACCATAGGAGTGTTAGAATGCTCAAAACCCAACAGTGGTATCAGAGCCTAGGCTTGTTTGTTTGATACTTGATGCAAACTTGTTGAAAAAACTCAGTTTTCTGCATTCTGCAGCATGAACTCGCCGAGTCCATGGGGGGACTCGACGATTCCATGTGATAATTCATCCTACTCGTCGAGTAGGTTCTTGCACTTGACGAGTAGGAGCCCCTGAATGCAGATTTTCGAGTTTTGCTGCTGGAAATGGACTAGAAACATTATCCTAAACTGTTTTGGTGTTTTAAAACTTGTTTTAGATAGTGTAATGCTTATGCTAATCCATTTACAATGGCTTTATGGACCTTTCGTTGCGAAGCCGGACACTCAAAAAGATCACAAACGAAACCTCTCACAATCTCTTTCACTCAACCTCCCTCTATTAAAATCTCTCCCAAATCACTCTCAAAAGTTCCTTTAAATTTTTGTAATCATTCGGGCCATCCCGACCCTTAACTGGGTCAATAACCACTTGAAACGGGGTAAAAACGGGTAAAATAGGCTTAAGGACCCAAAACTGAAGCTTCAGGACCGAAGTCCCTGTCATAAAGGAAGACGACACACATTTCTCTGTCGTAACCTTACGACGCGCGTGTTGATGACACGCAATGAGTA